GTTGGCCAGCTTCGCCGCAAAATTTTCTATAGTAGTAAGGTTGACACGGGTCAACCTTAACTTTTTGGGATCCGAAAATGTCCGAAAATGCGCTGTTTCAATTTGTACCAGGCCCGATTTGCAGCAAAGTTGGCCTACTTCGCCGCAAAATTTTCTACAGTAGTAAGGTTGGCACGGGTCAACCTTAACTTTTTGGGGCCCGAAAATGTCCGAAAGGAAGTTTTTTGTTGCAGGGATTTGGTTTCAACTGCCTGGCCGGACCTGCAGGAAGTTTTGGTTGCAGGGATTTGGCTTCAACTGCCTGCCCCCGATCTGCAGGGAGTTTTTGTCGCAGGGATTATGCTTCAACTGCCTGCCCTGAATCTGCAGGAAGTTTTGTTGCAGGGATTCTGCTTCAACTGCCTGCCCTGGATCTGATGGAAGTTTTTGTTGCAGGTATTTTGCTTCAATGCCTGGCCTGGATACGCAGGAAACTTTTGTCGCAGGCAGGGATTTGGTTTCAACTGCCTGGCGGGATTTGCAGAGTTTTTGTTGCAGGGATTTGCTTCCACTGCCTGGCCCGGATCTGCAGGGAGTTTCTGTCGCAGGGATTGTGCTTCAATGGTTTCAACTGCCTGGCAGGAAGTTTTTGTTGCAGGGGTTTGCTTCCACTGCCTCCGGATCCGCAGGGAGTTTCTGTCGCAGGGATTGTGCTTCACCTGCCTTGGGCTGGATCTGCAGGATTTTTTGTTGCAGTGACTTGGTTTCAACCGTCAGGCCGGATTTGCAGGAAGTTTCTGTGGCAAGGATTTGGTTTGAACTGCCTGCCCCAGATCTGCAGGATGTTTTTGTTGCAGGGATTTTGTTTCAACTGGCTGGCCTGCATCAGCTGGTTGACCTGCGAAACCAAGAACTGAAAGGATACACTGCATGTGCACAGATTCTGTAAAACATCTCAAATCATTTCAAAAACATCGATCAACATTAAAATTCATCTCAAATAAATTCATGCCACTGGCTCTTGGGGCCTGCAACAGCATTAGTTGATTGCCTTCTGTCGCAGTCCTTTTCACAGGCCCCCGGTCCCTTAGCCTTTCTCCAAGTGCCAATGTCGTCATGGACATCGTCCGTCGTCGTGAAGATCAAGGAGTGGAAGCGCCAGAACGAGTGGTGGAAAGATTGCGATGGGCGAATGGTTCCTTCGTGTGATGCTCATCGGTCGATGGAAGGCCAGGCATTTTTCAGCATTGTTTTCCAACAGAAAACTTTGAGTTAAGGTGTCCTACCGGGCACGCTTCCAACAGCAAAGTGTCTTGTTTCACAGGCTTGGAGCTGGCAGACGTGGAGGCACAATGTTGAGGTGGCACGGGCGCTAGTGAAGGATGGCAAGAAAACTTGGCAACGCTGGTTGATCAGAAAGAACAAGGTCATTCGTTCACAGTTCATTCAAACTCTTCGCCACAAGAATCGGAAGAAGCCGTGAACCGAGTAGTGCGCGGAAATGCCTTTAATTTGTTTAGGCCTTTCCATGTGCCAAGTGAGCATGATGGACCTTCACTGTGGTTGTTTAGATCAGTACACCTCAAGTCAGCATGGCAAATCCATGCTTGAAGCGATTGCTTTCCAAATGTTGAAGACATGAAGGACGTCTAAGAGCTCTGTTTACTGTGTCATTGAAAACCATGAGAGTTCCGCATCCTTCTGACAAGCCCTTTGTCTGCTCCTGCTTTACACAAAAGAGTGTGAAGCCCTTTGCAATCCAGCCTTTTTGTGCTGTGGAAACTCAATTGCGGGCAGCCATTGCTGAGAAAACGCCTGGGGAGTTTGTGCCCAGGACCAGGTCAATTGGTCCTCTGCTCAAGCAGTCAAGGACCATAGCTGACGTGGGTCAGTGGGAGGGTGTCAGCTGACAAAATTCAAACATAAGAAACTAATCCACTACTCATTATCCAGCCCATATGTTGGTGTAAACGCAAAGATGTGTGCACCAAACGCCCAGCAAAATCAGTAAAATATCGTCGAAAATCAGTAAAATAGCAAAAAAAGCCCTTCGTGGAAGCCTTGGCTGGCCTTACGTGGAGGCCGTGACTGGCCTTACTACATGGAGGGTTTGCTAGCCTTACGTGGAAGGATTGGTGCAGGAGACGTGTGGAGGCCTTGGCTGGCCTTGCGTGGAGGCCTTGACTGGCCTTACTTACGTGGAGGCCTTGATTGGCCTTCTTATGTGGAGGCCTTGGCTGGCCTTACGCGGAGGCCTTGACTGGCCTATGCGGAGGCCTTGACTGGCCTCACGGGGCAGCCCTGACTGGTCTTACGGGGAGGCCTTGGCTGTGGAGGCCTTTGCTCGGCCTTAGAGGGAGGCCTTTGGCGGGAAGGCCTTACGTGGAGGGTTTCATGAGTTTCATGAGCTCAGTTAGTGTATGTGGAAGCCTTATAGTTTATCCCTTGAGGCTTATGTGGACGCCTTGGCTGAATGGTGATGCAAAGGGCTTGGCTGGGAGGGCCTTACATGGAGGCGTGCGGGCCTTAGTTGATTGAACCAATGAATAGAAATGTTGCATCGCCAGCGGAAAAAAGCGGACACCATACATGGCCAACGGAAACGGGCGGACACCAGCAGCGACAGACCTGGGAGACAAATGCTACGTAGGAAGTGCGTCCGCACACGAATGCCGTTTGCCACTCGCCAACCTAGGTACCCATATTCCTGAGGCATGTAATTTCAACATGCAAACATGAAATCTCTTAAGCCCAGCCCACGAACTCGAAAAACCCAGAGGCCGCGACAGGATGACGACATTCGCTCGCAACTGCAGAGTGCAATAGCTCTTTACTGAACAGTGGGGTCACAGCTTGAGCAACAGTTCCAAAAGGAGCAGGTACGTCGGTGAGCGTCCCCACCGATATCAGTGTTCAATTCAAGCCTCTTCGTTGGGCTGGTACTTGCATGCATTATAGGACCGGATAACCCCACATGTTAGCAACTTAGCAAGAGAGAATGTCTGCGTAGGTGGTTGGTGACAATTGGTGGGTGGCAATTGGTTGGTGTGACAATTGATTGATGACAATTGGTTGAGGACGATGTAAAAAAGAAACAGGCCCTCAAAAATAACCCTTTCGGAAGGGCAGAGACCCACCAGCACCGGCCAGCACCAGCCAGTGGGGTTATCCGATAATTGGTGTGTTCTTGTTGTTGTTGTTGTTGGCGGCGGCCCATCTTGGCCCTATGTTGTGCCCTCCGGGGCCTATGTTGGGCCCCTCTTGGGCCTATGTTGGGCAATCTTGGGCCTATACTATGTTGGCCCATCTTGGGGCTATGTTAACCTATCTTGGACCTATCTTGGGGGCCTCTGTTGGGTCATCTTGGGGTACATTTTGCGCCATTTGTGTTGACACGGGCCCATCACCAACAAAATCTGATTATGCACGTCCGCGAGATGCGCATTACCGACACCACCCTTGTAGAACCCACAGTTTTTGCATTTCGCCACTGTCCAATTTTTGGATCTTCCACGCTCACAAAACCCTGTAAAGCACAGTGTTTTTGAACACCACGCGCGCAAATCACAGCGGCACAGCGGCGCCAGCCCCAGCCAGCGCCAGCCAGTAGATCCGACCCCCTGGAGAAGACAATTGGCAAGCAAATCGCTGGTTGATGACAATTGGTTGGCGACAATTGGTTGATGACAATCGGTTGCTAACAATTGGTTGTTGACAATTGGTTGGTGACAACTTGTTGGTGGCAATTTGTTGGTGACAATTTGTTGGTGACAATTGGTTGGTGGCAATTGGTGGGTAGCAATTGGTTGGTGACAAGTGTTGGTTGATGACAATCGGTTGATGACAAGTGGTTGGTGACAAGCGGGAGGCGGGACGAGGCGGAAGCACGAGCGGATACCACACTAAAAACAAAAAACCCACACGTCAATGTGGGGAACAACCAGCCGCCAGCTTGCTAGAACAAATTCAAAGGAAGTCCCTGTGACTCCAAGGGTTTCACACACACACACACACACTCCACACCCGCAGTGGTGTTGCCAGGTGTCCCACACATCCCACGGTTTGGATGGTTTGGTCCATGCCCCATCACGAAACACCCGCTGCGCTGTCACCATCTCTCCTCCCACATCTTAGGGAGCGGCTGACTGGCCTGGCATCCCGCCAAAGGCCAAAAGCCAGCGCCTCGATCAGTCGGCCAATCGGCGTCTTGGTCGTTCAATTCCACGGCGTGGCGCGTCTGGAACCGAGATGGGCCAGAGTCCTTTTTGGGACAGGCTGATAAAATGGACCCACCGAGCAGGGTGATGTCGATTTTGGAGGGTAGCATGCGCTATATGTACGAGCCCAACGATTTATGGCCATCCTCAAGTGCTGGAATGTGGATGCCACACGCATAGTTCACTTTATCAGTAAGCCAACATGAACATCTATCTTTGATATGGCAGTGGGTCAATACTAGGAACCCCAAACCAGGTAGGGTCACCCCCCAATTAGTCTATTTTGTTCCTTCTCATCGATCGGTGGTCAACCAGGGTGTCCCGGCTTTGAGCATCCCCATATCTGATATCTTCAGTATTCTTTAAAACTGATCCATATTTTCCTGTTCTTTGGGATGGGTTTAAATCCCACAAAGTTTGGAGAAAACACATAATTATTGATTTCATCCACCAGATAGAAACTGCCAGCGCGCACCGGGCCTCATCTTGAAAATGGTTTTCTTGGCGGTTCATGCCCTGTCTGTCTACCGCCCGCCCACCTAAAGCGTATTTCGGTGACACCCGCCTGTGGCGTGGGAGTACTGCCAGCAATTACATTCGCCCTGGCAAGGTGCATTCATCCATGGTTTCAGGCGGCACAAGCAATAACTTAAAAAAACAAAAAATGCGCTTTGCTTCGAGTGATCCCCACAACGACACTTCAATCTGACAAGTTTTCTGGCATGTAATGAAACAGTATCTCGGCATTTTTTCTGTTCTATCTTCTGACATTATGCAATTTTCTGCTTTCTGACATATCTTCTGACATTCTTTCTGGCGTATCTTCTGACACTCTTTCATCTGACATGTTTGGTGACATTATTTCCAGCATATCTTCGGACATTCTTTGTGGCATCTCTTCTGACATGCTGTCTGGCATATCTGTTGACATTCTTTCTGGCATACCTTCTGAGATTCTTTCTGGCACTCTCTCTATCTGGCATGTCTGCTGACATTCTTTCTAACATTCCATCTGGCATATCGGCATATCTTCTGCATATCTTCCGACATGCTTTTTGACATTCTTTCTGGCGTTCTATCTGCCATATCCTCTGGCAAGTGGTTGAGGTCCGGCGGGGAACACTGCTAGCCGAAGCTCGCTGTTGAGGTCCGGCGGGGAACGCTGCCAAGCAAAACTCGCGGTTGAGGTCCGGCGGGAAACACTGCCAGCCGGAGCTCGCAGTTGAGGTCCACCAGGAGGAGGAGGACGACGGCAGCTGACGTACAATCTAACAACCCTCACCTGACAGGTGGGGAACAAAAAACAAGCACCCAGGAGTGCAAGGATTTTATGAGTTGTCTAGAGCTCTTCCACAGGCTCTGCTCTGGCTCTAGGCTACAAGAATCCAACAGCGAAATCGAAAAACACACCCCTGATCGGCCGATCCCTCAACTTTTTTGAATAGAGCTCTTTTGCTTCTTCTCATTCATTGTATGTCATTGTTTATACCTGGATCCAGGTATAGGTGCGTTTTCTTGAGATTCCCAGGCTGGGATGTTTGACTATGGGGTATGCTTCGGAGGTGCCGTTTTCAGAGGGTGTGCTTCAGGGGGTATGTTTTGCCTAAGTCGAATAAATTTGAAGCCCCCTTGAGTAAAGGTAACCCATAATGTCGCATCCAAATTAATCAAATGGGACGGAACAATACAAAGTGTTCACCGAATAATGACCACACCCTGGATAGTGTTTATGAGTCGGACAGTCGGAATAATTGTAAAAAAAAATATCCCAGGCCCCTACCCACCACCACGACGACTACGACTACGACTACGACTACGACAACAACAACAACTACTACTACTACTACTACTACTACTACTACTACCTCCTTTATGATTCTATTCACTCACCCTTGAATGTAATTGTTGGCTAGGGGGACCGAACATAAACCAACTTGGTACATCTTGGTACGGCAAAAGCTGTCCCTCCTTGTTCCAAAAGAAACACATAGCCAAAAAGCTCCACAGCCCCTGAATGACCCGTCCAACAGCGCCGGAGCCGCGCGCGAGTTGGGCTGGGCATGAATCTCATCCCTGCGCACGGATCAGTCATCTGCAAGCATACCAGGATCCACCAAATGTGAAGGAATCCACAACAAGAAACAACACACATAAAGAAAACGTACAAAAACCATCAAAAACCTCTTTGGGGCAGGTTTTGGGGGACTCCTGGTAAGCGTTGGACCGGACTCTTTAAAGCAAATTTAAGTTTACGGAATATGAGTGTCTGAATTCGGTGGGCAATTATCCATAAATCACTCGACAAAAAGGTTGGGCTCCTCAGTAAACATTGGGATCCAACACGGTGATACCCCACTGAGGTGCCAACAAACAACGCAAACAAATTATTGGAGAGCTGTTCATGTCATGTAGATGGATGAGATGCACTCCAAGGTTCAAACGGGTACACAATATATACTCCGCAAGTCTGATTCAGTGTAGAATTCTACCTCTCTCCAAAAGCATCTACTACGTCTCCGCGACCAACAAGGCAGCAACGAGTCACCGCCCGTTCACCACAGTGTAACCTTCCAAAGTTCAATGTTGTCGTGGGCGTCGTCCATGACTATTATCAAAAGTGTGGACCTCCTTCGGTCACCACATTTAGAACAGGAACCCTTCAAATTATTGTTTCATCTTGTTTCCTGCACAGGACGCTAATTGGTTTTGAGCCATGGGCCACATCCAGTGAAACAACAGAACAAACGGATACGAAAAGGCATGAGTGCAGCGCAGCTTGGGCTTCCGGCGTAGGAAACAAACGAGCAGCCGGGCCTCAGTGTTTAGTGCTTGGACACTAGGGTTGCATTAGCACCTGGGGATCAATCCAGAACTGTAAATATTCAAAAATTCGGGTTTGTCCGAACATGGGGGACACCCCCCAAAAAGTGTCCCTTTGCCGTTTCGATCGGCACTTCTAGAACACACGACAAATGCTATGACTATTTCATGTATGTTCTTTCGTTCAATATTGGATGATATTGGATGCAATAGCTGTCTGAGGACTGGCAGCACCAATCATCCAAAAAACTGAGGTGAAAGTCAAAGCACATAAAAAGAAAACACATCCACAGTGGAACATCTACAAACAACATTCTCTGCCATAGCAATTGACCCATGCAAATAAGTTGATGAAGCTACCGCTCCCTGCACTTCTCACTCATTTCTTTGCCAGTCAGTATGGCCACGACGGGCCCGCGATCCAATGAAACAGCGGCAGCAAAGAGCAAGGGCAGCGGCAGCAACAGTAGTGGAAGTAGGAAGTAAATTAGCAGTGGAAGTAGTGCAACCAGGGACCCAACTTAGTCTCCGGAGCACTTGGGTCGCTGGTTGAAGCAACCCGTGCTAGCGTGTTCCCGCGCTGGCGTGTTCCTGCATTGCTCATGGGCTTCCCCGCAGTCCACTTGTGTGTCACAGTGGGACGTGCACTTCCCAAACCTGGCGCTTCCGGTGAATGCGCATTCCACGAGAGTGGCACAGCTGGTTGGGTTCAAGCCTGTCACCCCCACGACCTAACCTAGCCTTTTCCTACACTTCCGCGAATGGTCTTTCATGTCTTTTCATGTGTATTGCAGAATAATTTTGCTCCGAATGTGTCCAAGCCCATCGTCTGGACCATGTCTTTGCGCCGAACATGAAAAGGAAACGGAACTTCACCCACACGACCTAACGTTGCTGTTCAATGGTTGCTGTCAAAACCGTGCGCTGCAAGTGCCAACATCAATTCAGTGTCTTTGGAAGGCGAAACTGGCTGAGCAATGTGGCCCTCTGCTAGGCCCCTGTGGCAAAGCATCAAAGAAATTGCAGCCAAGAAGAACCTATGTTACGTCCACCAAAAAGTCTGCTCGTATTGGGGACAACATATATAGATATACCGTTCAATTGTAAGAGCAAACAACAAACAACATGACAAACAAATGACAAGCAGTATATAAGTACTGCGTATACTAAGACTTTGGGTGATTTCAGATATAACTGAGAAGGAATGCCTGGACATCTCTACCAACCCAGTCCACCCGCCAGCAGCACCAAGATTTACCTTCCCAATCATTCCCAATCCATAATCGGCGTTGACCGGAAAGCAGCTGGGGGCTCCCAGCATGTCTCCCATGCAGCTGCCGTAGATGTCGGGCTCGTTGGTGCCCAGCAAGATGTTGGCCTCGCGCAAGGTGGGCCGAGATAATACGTCACAGTCGTTCACCGTCGTCACCGTCATCCTTCGAACAGTCGTTTGCATGTCTTTGCTCTGAGCAGCTCCGCAAGCAAATTGTGTCTTTAGCAGAACGAGCGGAGGAAGTTGCTAACCGGAATTCTTTGGAGCAACTTGGACTGCTCAAGTCGAAGTCACATGATTTTCAAGAAAACAAATGCATACAGTATATATATATAGTATGCATAACTGTCGCATAGATTGGACGAGGATCAACGGTTCAATGATGTTCAAAGCCATGACATGTGATCAGGGAGTAACTTGTTCCACAACAACATAGGTAAGATTAGTATGTCTTAGTGAGGTCACCTACACAATTATATATGAGTTTTGTATCTTACAGTATAACTTTGCATGTTCCTCTCTTCCTGGAAGGGTATTTGCTTCCCAAACAGTGAGCTGGACCTTTACCAATCATAAGCTGGCCTCTCGCGAATCTCGGCGCGAATTCGTCCTCCGGTAGATTACTCTTCTTCATGAACAAATCAGCCACGAAAACAAGCTTGGATTTCCTGAAGGAACCCTCGGGACCGGGACAAGAATAACATATATTCCTCAGAAGGGGATTTCATCCATAGGGAAAATAAGAATCACCCTGGACCCTAATTAAGCAAAACTAAGCAAATCATCGCCCTTTGCCCCCCAAGATCCACAAATCGCTCCACGAACCGCACCATCTGAGCGGGGCAGGGCTTCCCGTTGCTGTCCAGGAAGTTGACTGAGCCGGCCTGGCGATGAAAAACATCCCGACCCGAAGTACTCCACGTTTCGCATGGTGAACGAGCTGTAGGGTGGTGACTTGCGGCATCGACATGGCTGATAGCCTCATGCCGCGCTCATGGGCCCGGATTGATTCTTCGGACATCTACTATTTTGCCGCATTTATGATAACACTAAGCTATACCCTTTGGGTCTATCTATAACCCTTCATCCTTGTAGGTCTAAACATCAATACACCTACAAGAGTTGCTTTGAAGGATGAGTGATGAGAGTAGAATGAAATGCCTGGCGCCATCTCAGGACCCACGAAATTCCCAAGCTCTCTATCACCCCCCTACCAATATGAGCCCGACCACTCCCCAAACATGGTTAGATGTTGTGTCGGTTTCTGCCCAAACTTCAATTTCAGCTGTCTGTCAATTTGAGAGAAAACACCGCCAGTCAAAGTCCCGATTCAATGCTGCACTGTCAAGGAGACATGCCAAGAATCAGCACCTCCCGATGAACACGAGTCCACCGAACTGGACGTAGACGGGCACCTCGCGCAGGTATTTGTCCATGACCACACCGGCGCCCCACCTGAACATCGAGGTGTGGAGCAATGGGATGGCCCTTGACAGGTCGGAGGCCAACGATGGGAACCGTAGGATGAGGTAGAACACCCATGTGCTGCACTTATTGCAAACTCTCGATGAATCAAGCGCCCCATGAGGAGGTTTACAATCCAAATTGTATTTATTTAAAACAATCGATAAAGACACCATAATCGAGAGTCTACAGTAGTAATGTTCAATACGCATCTATAAACCCCTCCCTCCCCCCTATGTTTTTTTGGGGAGTAACAAATCGCAATTTCAATAGAAAACCTTCAGGCCATTTGGCAAAGGGGTGTGGAATATAAATTTAAAGTAATGCCAAATCAATTTCCCGAATTGAATTCCAATTGCAGGGGGGTCTATTATTGTAGGTTGGTTTATAATTGCAGGGGGTAGGAGTCTAAAGGGATCCCCGTTGAAGATATGTTGTTTGTATTTGTTTGATTGGGTTTGCATAAAGAAAGCTAAAGCTTTTGGCTAGCCAAAGTTTTGGAAATGTGATGGGCAATAATTAAACACATAAAGATCCCACACAAAAAGAACAATAAAGAATAAGAAGAAGCAAAAGAAGAAGAAGAACTTAAAAGTAACAGTGAAAACACAAGGCAAGGATAAGCCAGCAGGGCTGCAGGGGGGTTGATGATTGTAGGTTGCCAAATATGAATCCTTGACATTGCAAAACACCATTCATGAAAGGTCACGCTGCTGGCAAAGAAATGCCCTTTCGCTTGGGTTTATAAGTGCAAGGGGTAAGAGTCTAAAAGGGTACCCTTTGAAGATAGTTTTATTTTGTTTTATATTTGTTTGATAGGGTTTGCATAAGAAAATCTAAAGCTTTTGGCAAAGTTTTTGGACATCTAATGGGCAAAAAAGAAGATAGGATAAATCACAGGTAAACGGCAAATTGGGATCTGAGAGAAAAAAAACTGATTAGAGTGTATTAGTATTGTCTCATGTTTATAATTGACTCACCTAAATGTTTATCCAGTTTGGGGTCTGGATGTTGGCGCAATGAAAAGTAGTATTTCAAAATCCTGGCAGGCCAAAAACCAGATTATTGTTGACGCATGGTTTATTCATGTGTATTCAACATTACTGTATTTCACGTCGAATTATGTTCCACTGTCTTTGAGGTTGTAGCCAAGCGCATGCTGTGGATGAAGAACCCTTGGTTGGGAGGTTGGGACTGCAAATAGTTTACTACATATATATATATATAAACATGTTCGAGATGGTGGATTGAATGGTGGTGCCACAGCGCATTGTACGAAGCCGGCAGCCACCGGCACGCAAAGTTCTCGCAGTCGGGCATCGGATTGTTTGGGATTTCGAGGGTTTTCAGCATCGGATGGCAGGATATCAGGATCGGGTTCACCAAAAAGATCCTCAATTGCCAAGTGCGTGAGGCTGATCCGTGAGAGAACTCCTTAGTTGGCTGGGACCAAACAGCTGTATGAACAACCCGACAATTCTGATGAATTCGGGCCGCAAATTGGACATAAAGAATGGATACAGTACCTGAAAGACGCCTGTTTCCATCGGTTAGTGAGTCCAATTTGACCCAGTCGTCCAACGAAAACCAAACACCTCCGGGCCCCTCCCGCCAAGCCACTGCTCCGGCGTGAAAAGAAAATCACCGGTGAGGTACTGACCGGCGCCCGGTCATGCCGATTGAGTTTCGCAATGAACTACCCCGGAGCATCTGGTCGGCATGTTGAACTATCCGGATGAAGAAAAAATAATATATATATATATATATCGATATATATCGTATATATAGCTCGATGATGTGCAAATTACAGAATTAGCATGATCAGTAATATACAATACAAGAGGATGACCCGAGTGCGTTGACCCAAGTGTGTTGAACTGATCCCAGCCACCACCGCATGCTTGTGTCAGTTCTCGTTGCACAAGCCAAAATTCCTGAAAACTGCGTCTTGCAAAGGTCAGAATGGTTCCTATGCAACAAGGAAAGTTAGGTTTCTTGGTTCCTTTCCTTTTAGTATTGCCAGAGTCGCTCCAGAGGTAGCTAATTTATTTCTTTATCAATTGATTGGTTTTCTTGTATACTATTTTGGAGGCCTTGGTTGTTGAGGGGGGGTGATTAATCAAGAGTCAACATTATCTTCATGGCGTTTCCTTATCTTCATGGGTTTCCTTAAAGGGACCGTTGGAGGAAACTCTTGGAAACACTCCGTCACTTTGCGTTGAAACATCGACCTTTTCCCCCTGACGGCGCCAAAGCCGGCATCGCCCGGGCCAAACGTGTAACGGATCGCCGCCCGGTCCGTGGAACGGTCCGCGGGCCGGTCTGCCGCCTCCGGAACTTTCTTTCCACCCTCCTGGTGCAGGGAATGAACACCGGCATGACCTTGGGGGGTCCTGACGGATTCAAACATGCCTGGCCTGGCAGTACGTGGAGCTTGAAGTGGGAGGTTTTCCGGCTCAGGTTGCCACTTCTTTCACAAAAACAAGTGAAAGCATGTGACAGCAACATGACACAACAAAGGCATCTGGCAAAGAAAGACATGTCTTACACTATGTTATATAAATCAATATATATATATATATCCATAACAATCAACTAACTTTACATGTTAATCTTGCATGTTTTTGCTTCAGCCTTTTTGGACTCGAAAAAGAGGCCAAATTTAGCGCTCTCACCCGCTCGCGCGGAGAGAATAACCCCGCCCTCCTCGTCCGTTTGCGGAGCCAGGTTCCAGTTCCAGTAGGAGACCTTGTTGAACCTCAGCCACCGCGTGTGGGCCAACACAAACAAATGACCCGTTTCGCACGAAGCAGTTCAGCCCATGCTCAGCCCATCCTGTTTTTTTTTTTGCGTTCGTTTCCGGTGTCTTTGCATGGAGAAGTTGGAAGGGAAGAATTTGGCCCCAAAGCATCCAAACGACCGTCCTTGACCCCATCCAAACATTTGTGTTTGATGGCCCAGAGTCTTAGCAACTCTGGAATCTTTAGGCCCAGCGCACATTTGAAGAGTTAAGGCCTTTGGTGTCACAATATGTCTAACCAGATCCCAACATGTGCCCAGGATTTCAATCCCTGGTGTTCAATCAGATCAAGTCTTAAACCCACTACGTAGCCACACGCACTAAAACGACCTCAAACATCCCTCAGTCCCAGCCAAATCAAAATACCGTATAAGAGCTATCAGCCTGGTCTTCGAGTTCTAACGAGTCTTTGCGTTGCTGTTACTCGCCGGGCCTCGGCGACAAAGCATGCACGGGACCTCTTTGACTGAACCAGCGATGGATTTTTCCAGGGTCCAAAGGTCTTGCACTGCATCACCGGCCTGTTTTTAAAGTAGAAGAATGTGTCATACAACAAACAGCAATGGATTCATGTGGATTCCCAAAATGATTCATCCCCCGAAAACTATCTCACAAAACCCAACAAATCAGATCTTGGAATACCTGCACAATGGAGGAACAAACATGTTGCAGTCCGGAGAAAAAAAAACAAAAAACATGTTTCTACAAGCTTCACCATCCTCTTTCTAAGAATTACAAGTAGTGTTGAATATGGTTTTAACATGTTTTAAATCATCAAGTCTGATCATGTCTGATCCACGTGAATCATTTATTAAACCGCTCACTTGGAGCTGAGAAGTTGCCCACTCCTCCCCACTCCTCCGACTCCGCCACGTCACGTGCTTGTGGCCTTCAGTGCGTCGATCATCCGCCGAGTGTCCGGCGTGGTGCTGCCGTCCTGAAGTCATCTGAGATGGGTTTTATGATGTTTATATGGGGGGACCTCAGTGGTTTATACGGATTTCTAGTTGGTTTCTGTTCCCAACATTCTCTGAGGGGTCTCCCAATTCTAATGCACACCGCCTGCAGGAATCTGATGACTTCAGATCCGTATGACGGGATCGCCAAAGCAAACAGTGCCATCATGTGCAATCATTGAGCAAGGCGTTTCCGTCTGCTAAAAGGGTGCACGGGCCGTGCACGGGTCTTTTTTCTATGCAAATGCTCAGCTGATGACAACGAGCGGTCCGGGTCCGGTGGCCTTGTCTGAGCTCCAGCCGATGGCTCCTTTGGTTCATCGGCTGAGCGCTGTCAGGGCCTTGATGTCTTGGTACAGCCCGACCAGCTGTGACCCAAAGCAAATGTCCCAGTTCATCCTTCAACATAGTGAGCGACTTCTGCCTCGGCCCTCTCCACAGGACGTGGGTGCGAATGGGTCGATCTTTACATATCTTTACCATCACCATGGGGGCAGTTCTGCAAGATCTTCGGCACGTTTTGGATCACCCCAAGGCAGACTGCAGCTGAAGGGGGTCATGTACCATGGCTCGCACCAAATTCCCATTGCGGAGGAAGAGCAACTTGCTGTCCGTTATACAAAGAGACCCGCTCGCCCAGTACATGTTCCTTCTTCCACGAGGTCTTTCAGCGGTCGATCCGGATCTCTCGCATCTGCAGTCACGTCAGTGCACCACCTCAACCACCCAGGAGTATCCACGCTTTGACCCCTGGCCGCACTTCCG